CTTTTAAACTGTAACTTTTAAAGATTGAGAATCTAATAGAGGATTGAGATGTGATGGAGAGGGAACAGCCTGGAAGTGTAGAGAAACAACATGTCTGGACCCTTGAGGGTATTCCAAACTGACATTTGTGGAAAATATCCTCTTTTTTTATAGCCAAGATTCTGTCCGTAGTCCCTGTTTGAATTCTACAGGATGGTAGGTGATCACATGTGGAAATGCTCAGACAGAGAGAAAAAAGAAAGGAAGGAAAATAGATGTTCTCGGAGGCTTCTCTGGTGCTTATACTTACTAAAGAGAAGTGGATGCAACTGTCCCTTTTTCTGCTTCTTCCTCTGTCCCCAACACACATTTCATTCATGGTTTCCAGCAGCACCACTTTGGTTGAAAACAAATGTACTATTCTTTCTACGTTCTTTCCACTTTCTCGTGTTTGTACTTCTGAGAACATTCTTTACTGACCTTTGTTTAATGACAATAAAAAAACTCTTTGAAACCAGACAAGAAAGTATCACAACAGTATGTGATGAGGTTTTCAAAAAATAACTCTATAAAGATTTATTAGTACTACTTTAAAGTATGCATACACACACACACACACACACACACACACACACACACACACACACACACACACACACGTGAGGAGTTTGCACACATGTGTACAGGTTCCCCAAGGAGGCGAGAGGCATTAGATCCTTCTGGAGTCAGTGATACAGATGGTTGTGAGCTCTCCAGGTTGCGTGTTGGGAATTGAACTTGGATCTTCTGCAAAGAACAGCAAGCTCTTCTAATCACTGAGCCATCTATCTCTTTAGCCCACAGATTTTTAAAAATTTATTTTCTCTTTCGTTTATAAAATTTAGTTTTACTTTTAAAATAAAGCCAGAAAGAAGTGTGTTAGTGACACATTAGACACATGGATATTGAACATTGGACACTTGTGCTCATCCAACACAGCTTTGTCCAGTAGAGAATCTCTTGAAACAGTGCTGGTTTAAATTGAGGAATTCTAAATGACCACTATTGTCCTTCCTTTTTAGCTTGGTAATATTACCCCAGTGATCTACTGAAAAATCAAAGAAAATATTCTTGGGAGAACTTACATGATAAGCAGTATGCATGTCGTGTTCTGTGGTCATTCTACTGAGCAGTATAGTCAATACTATATCGTGGGAACATTCTCAGAAGTTTCTGTGAGCTTCCACAGAGCTCCACCTGTTTTTTTTTTTTTTTTTTTTTTTTATTTTTTATTTTTTGAGACAGGGTTTCTCCGAGTAGCTTTGGTGCCTGTCTTGGATCTCACTCTGTAGACCAGGCTGGCCTTGAACTCACAGAGATCCGCCTGGCTCTGCCTCTGGAGTGCTGGGATTAAAGGTGTGTGCCACTGCCACCTGGCTGAGCTCCACCTGTTATAACATACCTCATATTAGTCTGCTAAGGGTGCCTAGCAGTAAATGTATATAATTATATTACTGCCAGAGAAACACAAATCAAAAGTCTATGTCCTTGATACTAATACTAGTGAATGGTACATTATAAATTATCATTAGACAACTATCTAGCACAGGATTTGTATTTTAAAAAGTTGGCTGTAGAACACCTTCACAAAAGGGGACATGGATGGTAGACATATCCAACTAGGGATATGCTATCCCTAGCTCAAGTTTCTTGACGTGGCCTTTGGTACTCAAAATGTCTCTGCTTTGAGAAGATTTACTGGATAATTTCAGAAATCTATTTGGCAGAGATAAGTAAATTTGATTCAGAAATTGATGAGAGATTAATGTTACTGGAAATGTGCCATTTTTGTATTTCATATCATGCTTTGGATTTTAAAGGGATTTGAGAAACAACATAAAGGTCCCTTAGCATGAATAAAATCTGAGCCTCGTCTGTTCTGTCACGTGACTTCCATTGAACAGAATCTCTTTCATTTTTTCCTGTTAAATATTTCAGCCAGTGATTAAAGAGTACCAATTCTTATGTGTATGGCACTTAAGATTTTATAGATTCCTATGTAAACATTTCTTCAGTTAGGGTAGGCATGGGAGGCAGAGAAAAAATTATTATCATCATCCCTGCCTCTATGGAAAAGAAAATTGGACCTCCATGATACTGGATGAGTTTTCGAAGGGCATGCTGCCAGTGGATGATGGCGCTGAGATTAGAGAGCCATCTTCATAGCTGTATACGAGTCTTCATTTTCTCACGTTCGCTAGTGCTTTTTAAAGTATGGCATGGAGGTGCACAGGCAGAGCTGAATCTTGAACAGTCTCTTAGGAGTTTGAACTGGAGAAAAGTAAAATTCAGATTGTATTGCCCGCAGTTTTAAAATACATAAAAGTTTACATTTAAATTGTAGTGCACAGGTAAGAATAAAACAAAAATAATTTCACACTATAACTTGGTACAAATGTGTCAGATTCCCAGTGACCCTAGAATTATCTAAATTGTTTGGCTGGACATAAAATATATGTTCAGTCAGTTTCATCATGGTCAAGTGGATCTTTTTGTTTGTTTGTTTGTTTGCTTGTTTGGGTTTTTTGAGACAGGGTTTCTCTGTGTAACCTTGGCTGTCTTGGAACTAGCTCAGTAGACCAGGCTGACCTCAGACTCACAGAGAACTGCCTGCTAGGATTGAAGGTGTGCGCCACCATCCAGGTCAAATGGATCTTAAAGTAGTTCATATGCTCAAGTAAAACATTGGATTCTGCATTGAATTACCAAATTCGGTAGGAATATATGGTATTGTTCTATGTATAGTTAACACAGTTTACTGTTTAAATCTACAGACTGATATATAGGTTATGTAATTAGCACCTAAATTACTTGAGGATATATATCCACACAATAAACACAGAAGGAAAGTTTCTTTATGTGATTCTTCATTTAGTTTCATGTGTTAGCTTTCTTCCTTCATTCATATTATAAGCCTCCATTGATCTTCTAACATTCTCCAGGTCCTCTGTTTGGCACACTGGGAATCAATGGTGGCAAATATGGTAGCTCTTCTTCTTGTCCCTGCAGGAATACAGATTGGCAGGGATGAGATCAGCGGTGCAGAATGAGGATAAGGTGGTGGTTGAGATCCGCTTGACAGTTCCCTTTCCTAGTTAAAGTCTCCTCATGTCTGTCTTGGAGTAGTGGGGGCATCTTTTTACCTATCACACAAAAGTAATATTCAGGCTAACAGAGGTCTTGGTTCACAGAAGACTTTCATGTAAGGATGTTTTAGCATTATTAGTGATTAAAAAAATAATAATTAGCCAGAATTAGGGTGTAAATTGTAAAAATGATGGATGCGCTTCTCATATGAAGTGTTAACTATTTAAGATGAAATGCTAGTATGTTTGAAATCACTGGGAAAATGGTATATAGCTGCTTTAAGGTATTCAGAGAGTTTTGCTTCTAGATCTCTTACTATATGCTGAAATTCAAGGATGACCGAGTAACCATTATAAAAACTGTTTACAAATCACCTGTGTGATCCCCTCCTGTGTACTTTCAGTCAGTCATAAGTCATTTGTAATAGTTAATAGGTCAATTGTAACAGCTAATACCATGTCAGTGTTCCGTGGGAGGGGGTAATGGCAGGAAATACCATCTGTACACACCCAGTGCTGGTACATGTGTTTTTCCAGAATATTTTTGATCAATAGGTGATTGTGTCCATGGGTGTAGAGCTGGCAGTGCATAGGTATGAATACATATTAAAATGTGAAAAAGATACAGAGCCATGTCTTGAAATGTTCAAGATTGTGATTGGTGGTGAAGAATATTGCTCATTCTCCTAAGAAGTTGGAACTGATGCACTTGTCCAAGCACTACAATGGACAAGATGTGCTTGATGACATCACACCTTAATTGATGACTTTTGGTGTATTTTATATAATAATATAGTATGTAATAATTTTCTGCAATGAAAAGTAGCATATTATTTTGAATTGCATGAAAATATATTCCGATAATATAGTAAGTTGCAGTTCACATTAGGGGTCTGTCTTGACACACAACAAGAGATGGAATGGGGAGATGAAAGCCAGATGCTGTCACATCCCAAGACCACACAACATGCAGGTTGCATAGCACTTCACTGAGGGCTTTAGCACTGAGTGGGTTCTCATTCTGTCTAGAAGAACAGAAATACACACAGAAGCCAGACCATTGCTGCAGCTCATAGGCATTGGCATAGACTGGGTGCTGTTAACCGCAAGGCATGTCCCCTCTTGGGTGTAATTCCCAACCCCAAAAAAGGAAAGACAACTGTGCCTAATAAGCTGGCTCCACTGAATGCCAAAGAAAATTTGTCTCATGAAATGGAAATTCTGAAGCAGGTTATGTAATTGTGAGTGAATAAATAGAAAGAGGTCTAAGACAGAGCCAAATGGGGTAGGTGGCCTGTGGAGTTCAGCATTTCCAGTCCAGGAATGTTTACTGTATTTGGTGAAATCCAGGTGTCCTGGACGTTTAAGATATTTTTACCAACCACATAAATGTAAAATTTTTGTTTATATAATTTGAAAAGTTATGTGCTTCAACTTAATATTTTTAAAAGTGATTTGGTTATTGACTAACCTATGTATCCTCAAATTTAGCCTTATTAATCATTCTGTACATTTGTGTCACTTATAAAGGGAAAGTGATCATTTCCTCAGTAAATACCATTTCTTTAAAATGTTTACGTTACTCTGAATAATGAACTTGAGGCTTTGACTTAAGTATCTGTGAATTCTTCACATACAGTGAATTCACACCTAACTTGTTTGCCATTTTCTCCTCAGTTCACCCCCTTCTCTCTGCTGCATCCCTTTTTAATTCCCTTCTCTTCGACTTCTGGGACTTTATTACGTCCTGCCTAGGGTATCATCTGATTCTCACAATTGATGCGGCCTCCTTGGTTGTTGTCTCATTCCTCCAAGTGGATTTCCCCCTTTCCCAATCAAGAATATTACAGTATAGAATTTACTCTCACAGTAGCTTTTGGTATGTTTCCCTTGCAGGATCAATGTGACTCTAGAAACAAATGGATGAATGAATATCCATATGAAGAGGAAAACCATCAAGGTTGGTGGCTCGATGGGACTGGACTGGAAGCATTACTATTCTGTTGAGTGATGCTCCGGGCAGTCACTAGAGCATTTCTTTGCCTAAATGAGACAGAGGCCACTCAGCACACACAGCCACCATATGTAAAGTGTATTCATTCTGTCCTTTTAAACATAAAGATATTTATAAAGAGGCAGCGCTTTTTACTCTGCACGCAAGTGTGCTATCGATATTTTCCAGATTTAATATTTTTCTTTTTTTGACAATGCCTCATGTATCCTAGGCTGGCTTCACACTCACTATGCACTGAGCGTGACCCTGAACTTGGGATCTCTCATCTGCCCGGTGCTGAGGTTACAGGAGTGTACTGTTCACTTGGTGCTAGGGTTTGAACGCAAAGCTTCATGTGTACTAGGCCAGCTGCATACCAACTAAACTAAATCTCTAGCCACTTTAAGAATCAAATTTTAGATGAACATCAAAAATAAAAAACATTGATAATGGCAGATCTCTGAGATGAGAGAGAGAGACAGAGACAGATTTTACTGAATGTGCAGAAGTCCCCATAAGCATACTGTAAACACAGTGCATGGCCATGGTCAAATACTGTTGTCTTTCTCCTTGGAGTATATTTGAGTTCCCTAATACAGATAGAGCCTAATTGGAAGAAGGCCAAACATCTATGAGTTTCAGTGGTAGTCCAGTGTGCATTATTTTGTTTGTGTTAGTTTTATGAGCTTTTCTGTTATAAAAACTCTGGGCAATAAGAAGAAAATTAGAGGATATTAAATAATCTTCATCTCATAGAGTGTTAAAAAATCGGCAGAGCCAGCACAGAGGTTTGTGCCTTTAGCTTGTTGTGTGGCTGTCCATCACCCATGATTCCTTGCTCTTCACCCATGAGTCCTTGCTCTTCTGCCAGTGTGCTTCCTCTTTTCACAGGCTTTGGTGCCATGGGGTGTCTTTCTCTGGCGGTCCTTTCTCACAGCTTCTTAGAAATGCTTTTCCATATTAGATATTCCTCTGTCACTTGGCCTTCTTCCTCCCTCACTGCTAGTTTTTGCCTTCTACTGTTGGTGCCTGCGAAGTTTTCACAGAAGGGGTAAGGACTCAGAGACGCTAGCCAGGAAATTGATGGGGAGAACTCAACAACATTCTTCTTCAGATCCTCATTATTGCTGGTGTGGGCACATCTGCGTGCGGGGGTGGGGTGGGGGGCGGTTAAGAGTACCCACGGTCTTCTTGTGTGGAGGGCAGTGACATGCTAGCCAACGGGCTTTCTGTGAAAGAGGAAGAGGCAGGGCCTCGGTTTTTCTTTTTCTTTTTCTCCCCCCTCCCCAATTTTCATAGTGTAAATACTTCCACTGTGGTGGACTTTAGTAGTTTACCAGCTGGGTAATTTAGAATTTAATAGTTGCAGTTTTTATATATGTATGTATGTATGTGTGTGTGCATGTATGTATGTATGTATTTGGTATCTGAATGGATCAGAGTCAGCTTTGTAAATTCATAATTTTGGCAGTGTCGTTGTTCTGGCTCTGATTTTATGATGACAACTGAAGATGGTGACAGAGCCAATCGTCCTGTCAGTACTTGGCCTGAGGCTGAAATGAAAATAAGCCTGACTGTAATATGCTGTATGCGATTCTTTCCAAGTGACCACACCTTGTTGCTCGTTATTCAGGAGTTCCAAAGTCTTTCTCAGGGGAAGGAGCAGTATTGGATTATTGTTTTTCTTGTTTCTTTCATTTTTTTTTTTTGTGTGTGTGTGTGGCAGGGAGGGGTCTGGGCATGAAGCTCTGTTGGCTGAGTGTTTACTTACTACGCACAAGGCCCCGAGTTTGATCCGGTACTCCGTAAACTGGGGGTGATGACTCCTGTAATGCACCAGTCAGGGTGGGGAGGCAGGAAGAACGTGAGCTTGAAGTCAACCTCAGCTGTTTTTTTCTGTGTATTTTTAACAATGACTTTCAACCATAGTTTTGATCATAGTTCCCTGTGGATAGAGAACACACTGACACTTATTTTTAGTCCCGTGTGAAAGCTGTGGCTACTTTAACAACATTTGATTCAGGGAGAAAATTGCAGAGTTGGAAATTTTATGGTGTTTTCTTTTTTATATTTTAAATATATTGACGAGGTCAATATTAAGACTAGCTTTTTAAAAACTATCACTTGAAGCAACATTTCCGCTATCTGCATAATTGAAAAGGGATTTGAATACGGCTCCTCTAGTACTTTTGTACAGTTCCAGCTTTCCAGTGGTGATAATGCCCTGCCAAGAGCCACAGATATCATGCTGTGCCTCTTGTCCTCAGTTCTAAAATGCAAATGGCCTGCCTGGGATTTATACAGTGTCTGTTGTGTCCAAGAATCATACTTTCAGGATTGGTTTTCATCTGCCTTCTCATTAAAAAATATACATTCCTATTAAATTCTTTTCCATACTCAACTTCATTGCACTTGAGTTGTTCCCTCTACCATGGGTCATTAGAAAACATCAAATAGATTTTCAAAAGATACCAGCCAGCCATTGTGTCGGGCTCACAAATCTTGTTATCAGATTGGTGTTAACACATGAATGTGCTTCCATACTTGCTCACACAGTGAGCTTGGTGACTTCTGTGGATGTGGCTCCTGGCTTCTTGCATATTCCAGGATGTCAGGTTTGCTGGGTGCTTCTCAGCAGCTAGCTTAGAGCAGATGTTTAAAACACAGACTTGTGTATATGTTATTTCAGCTTTATCGGAGTCCACGTTAAAAGGTCTGCATGTGATCAACCGCTGTGCACACTGTCCAGCATCAACAGTGCGTGATGGGGATTTATTGCGTGTGGGTATCAAGAGGGCAGTAGCTAGTCTTTCTCCTTTCAGTGCATACCAACCAGTCTGTTTCACAGCAATAGAAATGTGCAGCGTGGCTAATAGCCTCTTCATCATGTCCCCAAGCTTGATCTTCAAACAGGACAAGGATGATGGTGGAGTCCAAAGTTTCTTCCATCTTGAACTTGGTAGTTCTAGATGCTCAGAAAGCCGCAAGGGATGAGAATGAACCAGGGCCTTGAGCCTGGCCTGTGCTGAACGTTTTCAGGACAGCTACCTGGTCTGTGAATCAGAAAAAGGCAAATCGTGCCTCTACCATCCTTTCATATGATCTTGGGTTTCTCCTTTGTGAATTTAAAATTTCTCTTCTGTAAAATAGAACTAGTACCAGTTGATCTATGGATTTTTTTTCAAAATTTATTTTACAGTGTGGGGGTATTCTGCTCAGTTAATAGAGCATGTGCCAGTTCTGGGTTTAATCCCTGTACCCTATAAAACTGACCTGATGGCGTTTGCCCATTCTCTCAGCACTGTGGAAGTGGAGATAAAAGAATCAGAAATTCAGGGCAACACAGCAAGTTTGAGACCAGCCTGGAACACGTATGACCCTATTAAAAATAAAAAGAAAGAAAGAAAAACAAAAACAAAAGAAGCCATTCCTGACAAAGACAGGAACCTATGGAGCTCTGACTGGTTCGGGCTGATGTTCCCTTTTGTATCGTGAGTCAGCAACTCATGACCGTGTATGGTTTCACTTCTCAGCACCAAACATTCTCAAGGCTGTAATCACCCCCGTCAGTCCTGTGGCCTGCAGGGCAGTGCACAGTGTGGAGGCTGAAATACAGAGCAAGCTTGCGTCCCCACTTCTGTCTTTTTAGTTATTTACTTTAAATTCCTGATCAGGATGTCCAAGACCTATTCCTATCCTAGGTATTCAATAACTTCATAGATTATTTCTTAGCTGTGTGACTTTGCCTCGCTTTTCTTTGGTCTTGCCTGTGACCTCTCGAGGTAGAGTCACTTGGTCAAGAGGTAGTTTTATTTAAAGAAGACCCTCTCTCCCACCCCTTTCCTTGGCCATGTGAGAATGCCTAGCATTTCTCCCTGATTTTACACTGTGCTTTATTTCTTACCTTCCTTTATTCCCATTATGTGCTTATCCAGTGAGCACCTTTTTCTCTGTTTTCAGTCAAGTACTGATCTTAGTGTATTTTACTCCCCAAGTGGCTTTTCATCTCTGTAGCGGTTCATAGCTTTGTCAGCTTGCTTTCTTGTCTTTGAATTACCTTCTCTTTTGTATGAAGCCATGTACTCCTTCTTGAGTCTACGCATCAACCGATTCCTTGAACTCTTTAAGAAAGACCCTTTTGTCTTGTGTGCATGGCAGTGTGTACATGAAGACAGTTATTTGTCTAAGTTTTTCAACGTTAGCTTGGACAGTTCCCCTTCTATATTTATTCTTCACTGACCTTTTGTTTCTGTCTCTCTTGGTTTTGATATTTACTGCTTTTATAGACAGTTCCCCTGTGCCTACCTCCTGATTATCACACATCTATACAAAAGACAATATTTGTTAAAGGACAGAGTGAGAAGGGCCAGTGATGTTTGGGGCTGGAACTGAATCGTTCAAATCTTTGATTTCAGTTTGTTATCGTAAGTATAATCTAGGTGAAGATGTCATTTCCAAAGTCTCTCTTGATAGCAAAGCCTTTGAGAAAAGGACTTTCATTGAAGCTCCCAAGACATCCTCTTGGTGGATTGGCAAGGCCATCTGAAATGTCCGTTTGTGTCCACCGCTTTCTCACTGATTTCTCTGTTTCCTGAGGTACCGATGTGTGTTCTAATTGGAGAACCAGTGAGTAGCGCTTTCATAGCTCTGATTTGTACTTTTAGGAATTTGTGTTTTCCTCAGGGTCTGAGGCAGTGTGCATCAGCACTCAAGGGCATTTCAGATTTCAAACAGTTTGACAGTTATACCTTGAAAGTTTGTATCTTTTTGTGCTTTCAGTAAAAATGGGATTTTTCTTTATTTTGTGTGTGCACATTCAGATATTTTGTGGGAGAGTGTGTATGCATGTGTATGTGTATACATGTAGAAGCCAAGCAGGTATTGGTGGCAGATGTCTTCTTTTATTTTGCTCCACTTTATTGATTTATATTTTTTGGGACAGGGTCTTATTGACCCTGGAGCTCTCT